AGAAAACAAATAGAACAAATCTGTACTTTTCCGGTGGTAAATGGAATGAATTGGGTCATTGATGAAGAAAAAAATTATGTGCATAAAAGGAAGTATTGGTGAAAATAGCTGTAGGAAACATAGTAATTCGGAGAGAGATCGCTATCACTGAATTGCACCATCACCTACATACGAAATGGACATATCTTGTTACACCCTCTACAATGACATGCACGCAATATTTCATTCATACACTAATCACGAAGTAATGGGATTGATTGCTCAGAAGGAGAATCAAAGGGAAGCCGATTTGCTGTATGTAGTTATGATTACACGAAATCAGTCAAAGAGTTTGGTAAGCAGACCATTCAGAGAAATCCGGTTCTGGATAGAAGACAAATCTGATTTTATGCTTGGTGATATGTGATTACGTTCAATTTGTATGTACATCACAATAAAACGTCAAAAACATCACGTATTCACGAATAGGTGAATCCAATTATTCGACAGGTAATGTTCCCGTTCAGTGTGTCTTCCAGTTCAATTATTTCCATTTCTTGCCCCTCAACCTCTCAGACCTCTTCTAACGTTCCGTGATTTCCTATAATGTTTTTGTACAGCTGCGACGAGAGGAACCTGAATTATGCATGATTTATTCGATGGTCCTTACAAAGACTAATGGAGCATAGAGACATGACAAAATTTTGGTTTTTTTACTTTGTTGAACACTCCTCGCTTAAAAAATAAGACTCGATTTTTTATTGTGACTTATAAAAGAACATTTTCCCTCTCACTTTCCTTGAGCCCGAAACTTGTACCCTTTGGAAGTGTGCTTTCGCCATTATTCCACTGTTGTAAGCAAGCAAGCACCAAGCTTTGTAACAGTTTCGATTATTATCCATCCACGACGAAGGTGGCTCTCATGTCACTATTTGGATATAATTATTTTATTTAACACTTTCGCTGCCATAGTCGGACATATGGTTAATATCGCGAAAATTGTCCACCTGGCTGCCTTTCCTGCAAATAATGAGCGGTGAGTGATCAAAGAAGCAGACAGGCGCTCAGGTGCAGGTGAGTGGCTCCATCCCATGCCTCCTGACACCGCCAGGACTGACTGCGACTATATTTTTATATATTATATTGGGACCGAATATTAGTGCCTAGTCAGTCTGTTGAGATCAGATCAGTTGTATCCAAAGAACAATTTTATTAGATGTTGGCACATAATTATTAGCAAGCAGCCTGGTTGCCAGACCATTGGTAAGCTCGAAATCCCTGAGATGGGGTAAGCGGGTAAGCGTGGCCGCCTACTACAACTAAACGTGAGGGTGGTTGTGCTTCTGGAGAGCTCTTTTCTTTTTGACATAACTGTGGTAGTGTCTCTGTCCAATACAGAACAAGATGACAGTTGACTCGAACTGGATCACCCCAGAGTAACCCATTCTATGCCGTGTTCAAATGCCACGCCTACTCTGTCTCAGGGATAAGTGGTGTAGTTCGTGTGCTCCGCTACCGGTGTGAATCAAAGAAGTAAACCGTCAGTGTACTAAACTCCCTTTATTATATGCAGACCTTGAAATCGAAAATGACCATCCCAAAAATGGAATTGAACGCATTGACGCTGGCCATGAGACTAACGAATTCGGTGATAACACAGATTTCTAGTGTAGTATCCATAGACGCCGTACTGATTCTCACCGATTCGGAAATAGCATTGAACTGGGTGAAAAGGGAAACCAAGCAGGACAGTGGCCCATTCATTAAGAGTAGAAGAGATCCACAGGATTTTGGAGCACTGGCAACATAACCAATATTCGGTGCAGCTCGGACACATTTCCTCCCTACAGAACCCAGCAAATTGCGCCACACGAGGGCTGGATAAACTCCATCTCAATGACCATTTCTGGTGGCTTGGTCCCACATTCCACAGAGAACCGAAGGAAGAATGGAAGAAGACCTTTAAGCGGGTAGATGTCAGCAGCAGTACAGGAAAAAATTCTCGGAAAGACGGGCTGAAGGTTTTCCCATTCGGAGACACCCTGAATAAAGCGGCAGAGAAGACGACGGCTCTCTTTCAAGTAATCACAGGGGTGAAAACTAGCACTGTTCAGAAAGTGGTGGCACATACCCCTATAGTGAAGACGTTCGTTCAAGTAAAGAAAGACCAACGACCTCTAGTAGATGATCAACGTCATTCGGCATCGCGCAACATACCGCACCAGGAAAGAGAAGTACGAAACGAACTCGAAAATGCCAAGGAAGAAATGTGAGTAGTGGACGAGAAACTAGCTAGTAGACTGAACGAGATGAAGACACCATTGGCCGCGGCGGAGTGACGACAAAGTCGTCCTCCGGATTCAGGGAAGTTACATTAGTTTGAATTGTATCTCCAAGCTTGTTCTTTTAGTGATTTCTCATTATCTCTCCATGAGTCATTGTAACTTGATTTATAGCGAATCGATGAGCAATCGGAGGAATGCCAGTAAGAAGGCGTTAGCAGAGCGACGGGCAAAAACGGCGTACTATTTAAGCAGCAGATGGCCCAGCTGGGAAGTCAGACGGCTGGTCAAGTCTTCAACAGTCTTCCAAATACTCTTCCACTCACGGTGCTCAATATCTCCTTCTCAATATTCCGGCCTCGCCATTATTCCTAAGTCGTAGTTGTTCTAGTTCGAACTCTCTTTACATTCAACGGCTTCTCCTTTGATGGGCCTGATTATCGTAGCTGTATGAACATGATGAATTCTCTGAAGCCTTCTTCGATTGTGCCTTCTCGCTCTCGAATTGCTCTTACTATGCTTATTCATTCCCTTACTCATAGCCTCCTATTTCAGTTCTCATATCGCTTGTAATATTTACAATAGCTGTATATATTTATAAGATATTTACAAGTTTGAAGTGGTCTTCTCAAGTGGTCAACGTGGCATACTTATCTATTTGGAGTACGTGCGAGCAACTATCTTGTGTAGAAGACTTATCCTCATTTATGATCAGAGAATGAATGAATCGATAAAAATGAACTGAATGGATTGATGAAAATTGATTAAATCGAATGAAATGAATAAATGGATGAATGAGTCCTACGCCAAGAATGGATGGAATATGCATGATCAGGAAGTCAAACCCTCGTATGAAAATTTTCATCGATTATGGTGGAAAAGGTGCTGGCGCCAACTGGGCCAGCGTAGTAGTGTATATCATATTTATGATCAGGGCACTGAAAAGCATTCATAGGCCGAATTTCAGAGAAAATCTTTCGAGTTTTCGGAGCAGTAATAGTGGAATAGTGTCTAACCTTCTGAGAAGGAATATTAACCAGTTCAGCACAAAAATGCATGACTCGCTCTGCAGGAAAAGCCTCTTTAAGGACGACAGCGCATAATTGCAAGAACTATTTTACATGGGAATGCCACATTATGTTATGCTAGTTGGAACTGGAATTTTTCTTGGCGAATCTGCGGTTCTCTCGGCGATAAACAGGCAACAAAGGAAGAAACCGAAATCTAATTTCCGATAGAAGCGCTAAAAGTGGTATATTTCTTAAAAAACCTTACTTTAAAACATTTTTAAGCACAAGAGTCAAGAACAAGAGTTTTTAAAGTGCGTAGTGAACATGGTGGGAAAAATGCGAAAGAGCACACGAGCACACGCATGAAGGATCCAATTCCCTGGCCTTGCAGAACTTGATCCAACAGATCCCTTTGGCCACTTTGCCACGGTGAAGGCATTTTCTGGCTACGCTCTGTATTCGTCTTAACTCATGTGTGCTCTACTTAACACGTTCGCGGCGGCGCCGTTTCGTCAAAAACTCCCGTTTGTCGAACGACGCGTTTACAGCGGGCAACACTTAGGCAGTCATCCCGTTCATGCAGTACGGCGCCGAGATAGCGAAATATGGCTCGAGCACACGCGCCAACGCCGTGATACGCAGTGGTTGAAGTACTGACATGGTTGCATTTCGTAAATCCAGTAGGTGACCTAGGGGATCTACCACTCCTGGTTTGGATTATATTCGTTCACTGTTACACGATATCATCCCATTGAAGGTGTCTCGCTCTTTTTATAAATACTTCATAAATACGTGATACTCTAATACAAAGCTGATCAGTACAGAGAAGTCGTTTGTTAGCAATGACAAATACGGATAAAAAAATCTTTTCACACCCTACACAGTTTGACAGGCTCTAACGGCTTTGGACGGAAACCAGAACTGTATTGGCTTCTCAAAAGTATCGCCACGTCAAGATTTCTTGCATGTCACACCCCTACATTTGGAATTGATTCAGAACATTGTGATCTATCCACATCAGAGTAGATCACCTCGGTCACCTACTGGAATTGCGAAATGCAACCACATCAAGGCTCAAAAGTGTTTTCTAGACTGGAAAGAGACATTCTTCACAAAATGCAAAACCTTGTCTCCCTCAAAATCAAAATTTCACCTTACGCCTGCGGAGTAAGCCCCCCCCTCCCCCACCCCACCGATAAGCCATGCCGCCGCTGGCTCGCATCACAAGCAACCTTGCATGGCGATTGAAATTGAGTGTGTGTCCGTTCATTCAAATGAACCTTTATAACTCTATTCAGAGAATCGTTTGAATTTCGAAAGTATCCAAGATCAGGGTCAAAGAGTATGTTCCGTAATTATGTCTCATTACAAATGGCCAATCCAAGTTGGAGAAATCCCTAGTAATCTGCCACACCTAAATTTTGATCACAACCTCACCATTTGGTGTGGAGTACGCTTCCAAAATATGTTCTCAAATATCTATACCTACGTAGTTGAATTTTTCTATGTGTGTTCCAACCTTATAGATTCCGTTTTCTCTGAAAGGAGATCCAAGTCTGAAACGGTCACTTATTGCATTTCGCCCACAGCGTAGATGACTGAATGTCACGAAAAGATGAGTTCCAACTAAGCAAAACAGCATTAAACGTTCGACAAAAACGACGTGTCCTTTGTTTGCAATTTTCATTTATATCCCTGCAACGTAATTATAGACCATAGAAGAATATGTCTACCTTGGGTAAGAGTCTCGTTGCATTAGAGTGTAAATCTGATTTTGTGCCTCATCAAACGTCGCTGATGACGGACGTGACATGTTAGTGTTCACAATTTCACGCACTCTCGAGTCCAATGAGACTTCCTTTGGTGATAGTATAGAAATAAAATCCTCGTATATGATGCGAGCCTGAAGCAAATCTTTTAACACACAGAACAAGTAAAGTATAAGTGCAAGTATTTCACAAACTGCTCATAAGGTTGATAGTAACGTCTACGGTATAATGCCTCGGCGGCTTCTCTTTTTTTTCAAAGTTTGAAAAGATGGGAGTCCAGTGCCAGTTATTCGCCAATTATTCCACCACCTTTAATTCTTCGTTCTTGGTCATCGCGTAAACATTATGACCTCAACGGATCCGCTAGATTGCCAAGAGCTGACACAGTGGAAATATCACAGACTATATGCACCACTTTCACTTCAAATTCACGACTTCTCAAGCAAGATTACAACTTTTTGAGCCTAATCAACGACTTTCCAAACCAATTTCACGACTTTTCAGAGCAAATTCAAAATTCCAGAGCCATTTCTCTTTGTCGTCAAAAGAAAGTCGCAACAGTCCTCCTCAATCAGTGGACCCCCCCCCCCCACAGAACAGAGAACGTGTTCATGTTCGCTTCCGCCGGTGGCGCAGAAAAGAATCCTTCGCATGGGAACACACTGCCTGTTATTACTTTCTGCAAGAGTACATGACAAATGTGGTCACTCTTCAGGTTTCAAACGCCAAAGTTTTCTCGAGCGTAGCCGCGACTATTCCTTCGGATCGGGAGCAGTTTCAGCACTAATCGTCAGCCAGAGAGACATGGGGAAAAAGGAGATGTCAGCTACAACAGCAAGAAAACGAAATGAAGGAGAGGGACCGCCTTATGAGTTTTCAGTGCAAAGAACTGTGAGAAAACAGCCCGAGTCGTTACACAGGCAACTCAAATACAGACCAAAAATGGAGGCTCTGGAGAGCAGTGAAAACGCTCAGATTCCAAATATGGTTTCTCTCAGCTCTCCTAAGAGGACTGTGGAACAGTCTCCCGTAGAGCCGCTGAAAGACAGCGATCTTGAAGAAACACCCGAGGACCTGCCCGTCAGCCAAGAATAAGAAGATCGAGAAGTGCAGAATGATGAGAACAGCTATTGGGACAGAATGGTGAGCGAGGTCGCAGAAGCAAACGAGTGACATACCAAATCCGACGTCCGATGAAGATGAAGTTGCCAAAGGTTCGAGTAATCGATCCGGACAATATTGTCAGCCGTCGTACAAGAGACTCGAAGAAACAGTAGAAACAATGGAAGACGACCTTAAGCGGTTCCGTTTTAGAGATCGAAGAGACCGGTTGGTGGGAGTACCACCTTGGAGAACATGCGCATACAGCGATGAACAAGGGACCCACTTCTCGGACGCCTGCGTCCGGGACGGCGATGCACGGTATCACATTTTGGTCAGGAAAGGACGTTGCAGACATTGTCTCGAGGGAGCACAAGGCCATCAATGTAGATATCCCAGGGAATGCTGGTAATGCTACAGATTGATCGGCACGGTTTTCGAGGATTTGCGCTCAGAAGATGGAAGTCTTCGCCATCGGAAATTATGTAATGTCGCTAATAAAAAGGCCATCGCTGTAGCGCGTGTGGAAGAAAAGGAAAGCGAGCTGTGGATGTTGAAATCTATGGAAATAAGAACGCGTGTCTGATCTTTGGCGGCCGGAGTGTTGATGAATGTCGACGAAAAAGGGTGAGGAAGCTGACGTGCTGCACGAAGCAAAGGAGGGTACCGTGGCCTTCTTAACCATTGTCTGTAAGATGGTACTGCTTTATATTTCAAAAGGGCATTGCTCACCATGGTATGTTTTAGCGTAAGCGCTTGCAAGCTGGAGGTATTTGATTCAACAGTGACGTAGAGGGCTGCAACTGACAAGGAATGATGACCGCATGGCCAGAACCTTTGAGGTGTGGTGTGACCAGCCATAAGATAGCAAGAAGTTTAGGTTGCTCCTATGTCGCAATCATGAGCTTATCTATGATCTCGGTTCTAAGGAACATTCTGCCGATTGATAATAAATGAGTTGCGCAGCCTGTCAAGGAGAGCAAATGATCAGTGAGTCCCCTCGTGCACATCAGAACTACCTCTCAACAAAGAAAGTGGCTAACGAGGGGGCTGGGTAATTATACTTCAATCATGCACCTGAGTTCTACAAGATCATCCAGCACGAAGAGAATCGTGCAGAGTCAACGGCAGATATGCAAAGGAAAGCAGTGCAGTGTTTCGCAGTGTTGCTTGGTACCCTTTGCTTGATGTTGGTGCAATACTGACAGTCATAGTTTACTCTGACGAATTCCAAGAGACGCCAACATGATTCTCAAATTCATTTCGTTGGCCGACATTACTCTTAAATTCATTTACAGAAGCCCATGTTTTCGTATTTCAACACCTCGGTGAGGAAGTACAGCTGCTCACTTCCTACACATCCGCGATAGCATTTCTGACTCTCATCTACTCGAGTTCCTGATATACCAATCAGACAAGAAAAAAATTTGGATCAGAGACGACTTGAGAACGAAATCGACCGTTTCTCCTGTTCGATGTGACAACGTTTTTTGAAGAGTATTGTCATGAAGGCGTCCAAAGATGCGTTCGAGAAATAGATACTAATAATGCCTAGCTACTGAAGGCCTCGTTTCGTGAGTAATATTCATTCCGAACTATCAGCTACTATATATAATTTGCTTCGTTTGTTTGTTTGTATGTTTGTTTGTTTTTCCGGAAATTTGGTCCTACCAGAAGAACAACTTGGAGAGGTGGGGTCAAGGTCGGGATGGGTAGGGCATGTGGCAATATGTAAACAGCAACCGTAACTTATGGTAAGCCCCGCTCACAGTGGTCGGGGCATACGTCGAAAGTTGGCGGTCTCAAACTCATAATTCGGCTCCAGAGCAGTCTCGAGATTGGGGGGATTAAGGTTAGCAAAGGGTTGTCCATCTAATGGAGGAGACACGCCCGAAATGGGCGGGGCATACTAGAAATGGGCGGTGCTTCCGGTGTCACTGAAAAATTCATTATTCGGTTCCAGGGCATTAGATGGGGAAAAGTGGATTAAGGTTAGCAAAGGGTTGGCCCATCTAATGAAGAAGGCACACCCGAAATGGGCGGGGCATACTCTAGATGGGCGTTGCTTCCCACAAATGTCGGTAACTGGTCCCCGAGAGAGTTTAGAGACCGCAAAAAAGTCCACAGCGAAGACAAACATCTGGCGAGAGTCCGTTATATCTGCGATGTGCTGTGACCCGCCCACAGTGGGAGGGGCCTGACCTCAATCGTAAGGTATCAATTTCGAAAAAACCGTAGCTTGGTCCTAAAACACTACTGACGATGCGAAAAAGTGGATTATGGTCCCAAGAGGTCACCGTCTGAGAAGTGCGAGGCACATCCGTTGTGGACGGAGCCTACACAGGGTGGGCGGAGTCCGACTAATAAAATTCGTAAAACGCTTCCAGAGCACTCCAGACACCCGGGAAAAATGTCAATGATGGGTCACCGGTTGAGAAGTACGGGGTACACCCGTTATGAGCAGAGCGTGAGGAGAGCTGGGCGGGAGCAAACGAAAAACTTTGAAACGTTCCCAGAGCAGTCTAGACACCGGCAAAAGGTGAGCAGAGGTGTGCACGTTTCGGCCATTTGAGAGCGATAGACATGTTCATTGTGGGGGAGGTGGGAGGTGCGCAAAAGTCAAAAATTCACGAGTTGCTTTCAGAGCAGCATATGCACCGGGGACTGAAGGTCACAAAGAATTAGTGAATGAAATGGGGCAGACATCTTCAAAATGGGCGGGACGTACCCGAGATGGGCGGTGCTTGCTACGAGATTTTATATTTCGGACCTGAGCGACTTTAGGGATCACAAAAAGTCGTTGGAGAAAAGAAACATGCAGCGAAGGTTGAGTGTGTCTGTGGTGTAGAGACCCGTCCGCAGTGGGCTATGCGTGCCTCCAAGCACGAGCTGCCTACTTTTACTGAGCTTCAGTGCATCGGCAGCCATGCACTTAAAGACACATGGTACGCTCACACACATTGAGGGTGTATGTGACTATTAGCCCCCAGCCACCAATGCACTCAGCAACCGGTCGTCGTAAATGCATTCGATACCAGTCGGCTCGCCGGCTGACGCTGGCGCGCCTTCTCTGTGATACGGCACCGTCTTTCGGGCAGGCGTGACTTCATCTACCTTACCTGCTTCCATACGGTTAAATGCACGAATAACACCCGGCTTTCTGTCATCTATGCACTTCATCAATGCTCCTTACCATAATGTCATGCACAGTGATAGTGTTGGAAATAAATAGCAGGTGTGATGTTATTGGTCAGGGAGCGTTGGTCATCTGCTCAGATAAAAGAAAACCCGCATATCCCTGGAGTGTATAAACATAAGGAAGAAGGTAAGCGCGGCGAAGCCGGGCCGTGAGGCGCGTCGGCGTCAGCCGGCAAGCCGACTGGTAGTTCATAATGTCCCAGGACTTCCCCCCCCCCCAATTAATCGTTACAGATTTGATTCATTCCCACCTGGTCATCACTAATTGTGGAGTTCGCCCGACATTCCGTTCCGCTCCATCCAACTAACGCGCTATACGGCACCACGTCTTGTGTACTGCAAAGCGCGTACTGCTGCACACGAGAGGAACCTTCCAGAAAGTATCAGGGCATTCTGTATTCTCGCTAGAAGACCAATAGCGGTTGAGAGTGCCAGCCGAACACTTCAATAACAACTGACCTACTGCCGCTCGTAAGCTGTAGAATGCCAGAGCATGGCAAGCGACTCTGATTTATTTAACGAGCACGAAATACTCCTTGAAACGTATTCACGCCTCTAAAGATGACGATAGTCAAACGTTAGGTCATCTCCAATAAGAGGTCCCCAACAAACTCGCCCATTTTTGTAAAATGTTTCAATTTAGCTTCGCTTGAGAAAAATCTCGCTCACTGTTCTTCCTTCAAAATAAAGCAAACAAGTTTGTAGGACCAAATTTGTGCATATGTCAACGCTAAAAACGTATGCCATAGCCGCATAAGAAACCAGATTTAGGGTGGCTAGGAAGTAAGTGCTAAACAGCTATCCTCTTCCCAGAATGGCGCATTTTTCCTGAGGAAAATTTTCATTGGATATACTACAATGTTTTAAGCAATAAGATTTACTAGAGACATCACAAGTATTCGCGCTTAACTACGACACAGGACCTCAGACGCGAGATGACTGAATCGAGAACTATAAGTAGTGTAATTTCAGATCGGCACACATATTGATACGCTCGTGTCAATGAGTGTCCAAAATGACGGTTTTCTTGCTCTCAAACCTCTGCTGTAAATAATCACATTGGAAAAAAAACAAATAGATTCAGGTCCCAGCTGATGAAAGACAATTAGTTTTTGTTGCGGAGGCTGGGGCATTGCAAACAAGGCACGCCATCGCCGATATTTCTCAATGAGAGCGACCCCAATGAAATCAATTATCCTGTCTTTTCTTGATGGGATGGAACATTGGTTCCCTTTTGGGGCCGATCTGGGAAAGGCTCATTATCTGTGATGGATATTCTGTTCCAAAAAATAAACAATTCGAAAACAGTTTGACCGCGACGAGTTTTGTTTTTCCAGGATTCCCCCATTCGATCCGAGCATTTTACATGTGATTGACGGTCAACGATCAATGTGGAAAAATCAAGGTGACTACAACGCAGGGTCAAGCTTACGTCGCGGAATCAGCGAAGGGAGGATCGCATTTACTTGCAGGCGTCAGCACTGAACACAGTTGCGACGTAATTGCAGGATGGGTAATGAAAGCACAGCCTGTGGGCTGGTGCTAAATAAATCAGGGGCGAAAACCCCTAAGTTACGCTTCTTCTACGGAGCCATACTGCTCCGGCTCTCACCCGCTCCGTGTACCGAGCGGAGCGGCCTCAGCTACGATGCTGGATGCGGCTGTCTGGAAACATGGAAGGATGAGAAGGATACGCTTTTGAGCGATCTCTTCTAGCGTGCGGCACGCATCTACTTCCATTCAAGCACATAGTGTTATTGGATGTGATGTGGCCTGTACAATGACTTGTATGAGAC